CCAAAACCTTACCACAAATGGACTTTTGCCCAGTTTGGATAGATAATTACATTTACTGTTATAGATACTGCTACAGTAATATTGAAGTCAATTTTTTTTATAGATCCCCTCAGCACAATTTATTGCAAACTGAACAAAACAGAAAACCAATTAAATAAAATATCTGCCAGAAGAATACATTTAGTGATCACTGGGCTCCACAAATCATATATGGTGAAACTGTATCACAAAGGGTAATAATTTTTAAATTAAACAAAGTATCTGTATATCAAATACAGAAAAATCTGGATCAGCTGAAGTTTTTGTGCATAGCAATTTCTGTAGATGTGCGATAAACCTTTCTTTCTGATAAGGTGCTGCTAAATATTAAGTCTGGAAAAAATTGTGTGTATATTTATGTTTATTTTCCATAACAAAGAGCTACATGTTTACGAGGGATCATGACATCAACTTACTGGACAAATAAGCGCCTGCATGAACTTAATATTTTGACAACAAACAAAAAAATGGAAATACTGGCACCATGACACTGCAGTCTTAGAACTAGTTGGCGGAAGTCCTGTTCACAACACTTTAGCAGTCTGCACACAGCATGAAGAGCAGCCCATGAATCAAAATCAATTGTGAATACAAGTCTCACTCTCCCCGTATTTCTGTTTTGGCTTTGATTTTTTTTGTTTTAATCAGCTAGTATTAAAGCACAATGGGAATTCTCCAAGAGGGTCAAAAAGAATACAGTTTTGTAAAGAAAGCTGTTTACTTAGCACAAAAAAGCTCCTGGGATGACTATAAGGTGTCTTCTAAGGAAAAGTAGGGTTTTTAAAAGCTGTCATCAATTGACTATTTTTCCCCAATCAGAAAGGGTAGTGTATTTTTAGAAAATCTAGGAACATACATATTCAGCTTAACACAGTAAGAGGCTATCCTTGAAGCATGCTACCTGTATATATTCCAATGCACAACTCCGTGTTATTTATCAGTTACACAAATGCCAGTCACTAGCCCTTACCAGAGTAAATGGTGCACTGCACCACCCACCTGTCATGTCTTCAGTTTATGATATTTCAAGACTGGAAAGGAAATTAGTTCCACTTGCATGAGCCTTTGTTTGAAAGTAATAGTGCACAACATATTTCTGTGGGCATAGGGGACAGAGAGCAGAAGTACTAATTCTAGGAATTCACTAACCAGATAGACTCTTGATGTTACAAGGACTAGCTTTGCAAGACTTGCATCACTAGTAATGGTTTTAACTATGCATCCCACTGTCAGGAAAGGTCAGGGACAGGCTTATCATTTATGGAATTTATATTAGAGTACAAAATAAAAGTAATGAGGACACAAAACCAGACGCAATTTGCATACCTCCCTGCACAGCTCTCTCTTGACAAAGCAAGGGAGCCTACAGTGATCTTCCCAGTTATTCAAGCTCACTTTACAATCAGGGCAACCATATACTCTGCTGTGCTATCAAATCCACCATTTCTCTAATTCACAAAACTAATGGCATTACGAGAGGATAACAAAGTACACGTCAGACTTCTACAGCACAGAAAAGAAGGCGGAGGAGAGAGGGTTGATTTAATTTATAGCCTCCTTAGTTTCTTTCAAGACATATCATGCAACCAAAAATCACATGCTCCTATTATTGTGGCACAGGAGGATTTACAAGATGTAAACAAATTTTTTAAAGTTCCATGTGCACATCAGCCTAACCTCTGCCCCCTTCAAATTTATTTATTTTCCCTTGATCCACACACATGAGTACTCCATGGTAGCATTTTCAATGAACTATTCATGCAGGTGAACATCCCTCAGAGAAGCAGCTGCCCCCTCAGCTTTTATGGTTATTTGTCTCTCTATCATGGAGCTCAAAGGAATAATCCTACTGCATATTTCTTCTTCATTTATTTTACTAGGTGAGGTGTTTAAGAGGATATATGGTCATCTGGAGCTCATCACTGCCAAATTTTCAGCCACGCAGCTGTAAAGAGTAAAGGAACTAGTTTAGGTCCTTGGTTTACAAAGTGCTGAGTACCTCCAATGAGGTGTCAAATGTGCGTCGTGACACTTTAAGATTGCTTAGTGCCTCCTGAGGTTCACAGGGCCTGATCCAAAACCCCACTGTTATGAATGACAGTCCTCCCCTTGACTGCAATGCGCTTGGGACAGAACAGAGCTTCACAGCTCAAGCCTTGTGCTTCTGAGGCAAGGCAAGATTTGCCGTAGATTTAAGAACGTGGGGTAAGGTGCCAGGTTTGAGAAGCACTGGATCTTAGCGTTCCTACCTCCAAACACTTAACCCAGAGTGAAATAAATACATACATAGATAGCTATACAAAGAAACATTCAAGACTACCTTAAATAGGTTTTGGATCAGGTACTTATTTTCAATTGTTTTAACCTCACATACATACAGGCAGCAAAATTCTCTCCAAACCCTTTAAGCCCATCCTGCTTCCACTGGGCCTAATGTATTTCTTCCACTTCTGTTCCAAAAAAAAAAAAAAAAAAAAAAAAATTCTACAGACTGTCTTTACAAATCATTTTTCTCTGGAAGCCTTTGTTAAAATCAGCTCTTCTACTGGAAGCATGCAATAAAACAAAACTAACAAGAAAAGAAGGTGCAAAAAAATGCTGACAGTCATACCGTAAAACATCCAGTGCAAAAAGACTGGCTGCTCTCATTGGGGTTAAGGCGGCAAAGAGTCTTTCATTACCAGGTTGCTCGTTCAAATCCAGTCTTGCTTGATGATAATCACCTGATGGCAGGCAGAGCAAGCAGCATACTTTTTAAGTAACTCTGCAAAAGTATTTTTAATTGAATGTGTAAATACTGTACAGAATGTCTGCAGGCATTCATGATGAGAGTATCATCCTGCAAGACTGAATTAGTAGATAGTAATTAAGCAAACAAAAAAGAACTAAGTTGCAGAAAAGACTGTAACCACTTTCATTTGCTCTGACAGTTGCCATTTATCTTTGCTTTTGAAGAGACTACTTGGTAGTATTCTAGTAAGTGAACTGTAGCATACTGTGAAAAAAATAATAACATTTTAGCAATACAAGCCCTCACTGCAGCATCTGTTATTAGATCTTTGCAGAGAGGCGAGGAGAGACCACTAGTCATAAATGTGGATTAGCAAGGTTCTACTATATTCGTTTTAGAGACTTCAGAGCGCTTTGCATGAAAGCTGTTACTTGCCTTTTATGTCGAAAAATGAACTTATGCCAACTTTTTAATATTGAATTGATTCTATTCTAATTCTTCAGGGAAGTAGTCCTAACAGCCTGCAAGCACTGTCCACAAAAACGGCAGCAGTCTAACAGCAGAGAAATGGAGGAAGGACAGAATCAGAATAGCTGACGCTGCTGATTTGCAACATTTTCTTTTCACAGAAAACTGCCATCATCTTACACTTCTTTCCTGAGCAAATCAAAAACTGGCTTTGAAAGTGTCAAGCTTTATGATGTTGACTCCAGCTCTGACACCTGATTATACAAGAGGATTAACACAAGCGCTGCGCGTGCTCAAGGGAATCACTGCATCCTCACCAGCGGAGCCTTAGCAGCTCCACATCCTGGGTGACTCCCTAGCAAAACAGGCAAAAACCAGGACTTGAGATCCTAGAGAAAGGATGATAATTCACATACTTACAAGAAATACAACACGAGCTCTCTGAACTGAGCCAAGTTTAAGTAAAGTTTATGCTGAATTCATGAAGTTCAAGCAGAGTCGGAGCTTAGCTGAACTGTAGTTAAAACACTCAAGAGTTTTCCAGAAACACTAAAATCCTTCAGGAGAAAGTTGATCTTGAGCCTTCATACGAATATCTTCCTGTCTCTGAAGTTACACAGGCAGTGCAAGGTGCCGTGTAATATTTACCTATGACGCCCGCTGTTATGATATAATGTATCAGTAAAGGATAAATTAGAAGCAGCAAATCCCCAAAACCACCCGTGCAAATACACAGCCGTTAGTGGGTCAACATACAAAGAAATGAAGACTAGTTGAAATTGAAAATGAGTTAAAAACAGATTATGGGCGCTCACCGTGAGAGTCGCTGTCTGAAACAGGCAATTAAATAATAAAGGCGACGCACACTGCCTTAACTGCGAAAAGTTGGGAACGTTGATGCTCTAATGCCGTAACACCGGCCCCGGCGCGCGGTTTTTATCCATCGACGAGGCTGTAAAAATCCTCGGAGAGCTGCTGCTATTCCCGGACCTTTGCGGGACACCCCCCCCCACGCCGCGCAGCCGGCCCGGCGGGGTGAAGCGCGGGCCGTGGGGCGGGGGACGGACGGACGGACGGACGGAACGACCCCCCCCCGCCCCAGCCCTCGCCGCGCACCGCCCGCTCCTGCCGCTCACATCCACCTCAAGCCCGGGGCTGGGTTTTTACTTGATTTTTGTTCTGGTTTGGGTTTTTCTTCCCCTGGCGCTTGAGGAGGCAGAGCGCGGCGCGGGGAAGCTTACACGGGGATGACTGAATCGAGGTGAGTCGACTAAGCCTCGATAATTTCATCTGGGACTTTACGCGGGGCTGGAGGGGATAATCCCCGCGCCGCCGCTCGCCCCCTGCCTCTCCTTTACCCGGAGACCCTCGCACGGCCCCGGGGGCACGCCGATCGCACCCGGACACCACCTCGCCGCTGCGGGGCCAAGCCCTCCTCCTCCTCCTCCTCCTCCTCTTCCTCGCAGCGCGGCGCACACCGCGCACCCGGCCCCTCTGCAAGATGCGCGCTCGTAAACTTTCCAAACTTCTGGGGAAGTGGCGGAGGCTGCGCGGGGTCGGCCCGACCCCGGCGGCTCTTCGCCTCCCGCCGGCACCTCACCAGCCGCCGGGGCGCCGCTCGCCCCCAGCGCGG